CACATGAACCTTGCTCCAGCAGGAGCCCAGGCTATGGGTTCTGAACAATGTTGCACAGCGAGCTGCCTCACACCTCTGCCTGCTATGTGCAGCCTTGTTGCTGCTGCATCTGGTGACATGGCAGCTCCTATAGCACTGAGACACGCCTGAGTTTATTTGCTTAGGTGCGAGGCTGTGATAACAGCTCTCCTGCATCCAGGACTCCAGCCTAGGCACCAGTTTGCTTCCAGTTCTACACTGTGTTGTGCAGATGTATCCTGGAAGCCAGGAGAGCTGCCATTCCACTGGGCGGGATGTGCCTGTGTTTTCTATCTGCCTATGAGCCCCTGTCTGTCCCTATGCTTGTGCAGGCAGGCAGAGCTTGCTCTTCTCCAGTCCCTGCCCTGCTTCATTGCTGCCTGGATGCTGGGAAGCAGCTATGCTGCTGCAGTGTCTGCCTGTGTCTTTCTGTGCCGTGCCCAGCAGAGGGAGCTGGGTCTTCGCTTTTGCTTGTGATAGTGAGTACGAGGCTTGGCAGGGAATTCTGCAACGGGCAGTTGCTTGGCCCTCACTCCCTCTGCAGGCACGGTCTGTACAGCCCAGCCCTGGAACTGGATTCCTTACCATTCAGCACTGAGCGGCTGCCCCGTGCTTAGGGCAACCAAAGTGAGGCATTCCTGTTCTTCCAGACATGCAGGGCTCTGACATCTCCGTCGCCTAGATTTGTATCTCAGGTCTTGTGTCAGCAGAGTGGCAAACCTGTTCTGAGTTCTTCCAGTCTTAAGTGTCCTAAAGGCAGCTGACTGTCATTATTCTCAGAGTGAGCACCATCGTCCCAAGAGCAATCCTGCAGTTCTTGGCAGTTTCACTGATACCCAAAAGGTTTTGAAGAGCAGACAGAAAACCAGTGCTGGGGAGTGCCCAAGGCAGCTGCAGGCAGGGACAGGAGCTGACTTGTTGTGGGCTGCAGCAGGCCCTGCAGTGTGCCAGTTCTCTTGGCAGGACTTCCTGCGGCAAGGTTCACTCCGCTCCCTGCATGTTCACAGAGTGAGAAAAGAAAGGGCTGCGCCCAGCCTGGCACTTTGTGCCGAGCTGCCTTCCATACCTGTGGTGGCAGACGTGGTGTTGGTGGAAGTTGCTGATACAGCCAGACTGGCAGCATCTTCTCAACAGGTGTCCTGGGGGATGCCAGGGAGCAGAGGTGATCCTACAGGCCAAGACAGCACCGTCCCCAAGGCTGTGTGCATGTGTGCATACACTATTTACGTGTCTGCTCTTCTCCCTCTTTTTCTGCTGCTTGCCCAGGGACCCTGCAGCTCTCGCCCGTGGGACCTGCCAGGCCTGCGTCTATCGAACGCGTTCAAGGTATCGCGGCGCTTGCCTGCTCCAGGCTGTCCTGGAGCTCGTTGTGCAGTGTGTGAGAGCAGCTGTCACCACACTGTGCTCAGGGCCGGGGACTGGAATCACTCCGTGTAGCCTGGCAGGGTTAGGAGGAGGCAGGATTTCCTCTGGGGGCAGGAGAGGAGAGCAAGATAATGCCGTGCAGAGAGTCGCCAGTGGAAACGAGTGCCTGTTTGGAGAGGGTCTTCAATTAGGATCCAGCCCACTTAGGCACTTCTCTGACAGGAGCTTTCCTGGTCTTGCTTTGCACCTGGTCTCACATTGGCCCATGCTCTTAGGATTGCCAAGGGGCACCCGCACTCTGAGCACCTGGTGTTGTAAGAAGCCTGAGACAGAACCAGAGGGGAAAAGAGAGTGATGTAATGAGCATCCAGGGAAGGGGCTTCTGTGCTCTCTGGCCTTATCCCAGGGACTGCTCCCTCAGCAATCAGCACAGCCCACTTGCCTGTGTCGGGAAGCCGAGAGGCAGTGCACGTCCCAGCCCTGAGGGGGCTGGGGGACGGTCTCAGCGCAGCACTGGTTGTGCAGGTCCTCACAAGTTCTTGTATGTCTCCCTGGCAGTGCCCATGCCAGACCCGAGGGCCCCTATGCAGCGTGGACCTCTACCTGCTAGTGGCCCGCCGCCCCGAGGCCTTTTGGGAGATGCCCCGAATGACCCTCGTGGAGGGACCCTGCTCTCAGTCACTGGAGATGTGGAGCCCAGGTGAGGGGAGAGGGAAGGAGAGGAGCCCCTTGCACTGTTCCCTGCCCAGGGGTGACTTCACTAAGGACAGGGATGGCACGAGCCTTCCGGGAGTCACTGCTGCCTGGTTGGAGGCCTGTGTGCTGCCAGCCATGGGGACCAGTCCCCTTCCCCAGGGATGGGGCATCCCCAGGGTGCTATTGGCAGCACTGTGACATGGGACTGACAGCATCCATCCCTGTGCAAGCCTTGCCAGCGGCCGGCTTTGGGGGCAATCCCAACGCTCTGCCCAGACCGTGCCAAGCCAGTGTCTGATTTACTCTCTTGCTTTTTCTCCTCCTCCTGCTTTGCTCTCCTCGTCTCTCTGCATCAGAGGTTACCTTGGGCCACCCCACCAAGGAGCCCCTATGCATCATATGCCTGGCCACGATAGCCGTGGCCCCCCCCATGAGATGAGGGGTGGACCCATGGGAGAACCCCGACCACTGATGGGAGAGCCGCGGGGGCCCTTGATGGATGCTCGAGGTGAGAGAGGGGGCATGAAATAATGGGTGGCTTAAAGCATGCAGACAGAGGGGCAGAGTGGAGCTCACTGACTCAACTCAAGACTTAAAAGGGGGTTTGGGCAGAGAAATGAACCTAAGGCATGAGGAACAGTCCCACAGAGTGAGGGGCTTCTTCCAGGCATGTCTCCTTTTCCCCAGCCCTACATCTTGGCATTTGTCAGCTTCCCAGCAGAGAAGGCAGTGAGCTCAATCCCATAACTCCATGGCACTGCTCCCTTCTACAGCTTGCCTTGTTGTTCCTCTGCAGTTGGAAGAGATCCCCGAGGGCTGGAGCCGCGAGGATTGGAACCACGAGGGCTGGAGCCCCGGGTGATGGAGGCGAGGGGCCTGGAGCCAAGGGGCATGGAGCCACGGGTCCTGGAGCCACGAGTGCTTGAAGCCAGGGCCATGGAGGCCAGGGTCATGGAATCCCGAGGCCTGGAGCCTCGAGGGCCTGGTCCCAACCCACGCGGCCCGATGCCAGGTGGCATACAGGGTCCCGGACCACTTAATATGGGAGCCAGCGGTCCACAGGGGCCCCGCCAGGTACAGCTCTGTGTGACTGACTGTGCACTGATGGTGTCTTGTGGGCAGGGCTGGGTGAGAGGTATGCATGTGACTGTTGGAGGTGGAAGACCTCCTGCACAGCAGTGTGTCCTGGAAGTAAAAAGACTGCTTTATGTTCCTGTGTCTATGGCTGAGTCCAGGAACCCCTCAGCCCTTATCCTCTCTCTTGTACCCATAGGTTCCTAACATGGCAGGGGCTGGCATGCAAGGAGGGGGCATTCCTGGGGCAGGGGTCCAGGGAGCTGGTCAGCCCGGAGGCTTTAGTCCTGGACAGAGCCAGGTCACCCCCCAGGATCATGAGAAGGTGAGTGAAGGGGTGGGAAGGGGTTAGATAATGAGAGTAGTGGTAGTGCTTTCTGTGTGCCTTACCATGACAGAAGATAACCATGTTTCAGAGAACTTGTTTTATTTCCTGTTGCATTTGGAGCAGGTTATTGTACTCTGCTCTGCTCAGGGCTTGGGCAGCTCCATTGTCCTGCTGCAGAGGAAACTTAATCCATTCAGCACCTCTTTCTTGTCTGTGGTAACCCATGGCTATGCTGGCAGAGAGCAATTCTGACTCTCCCTTCTCTCCTCAGGCAGCCCTGATCATGCAGGTTCTGCAGCTGACAGCAGACCAGATCGCCATGCTGCCCCCAGAGCAACGGCAAAGCATCCTTATTCTAAAGGAGCAAATCCAGAAATCCACGGGGGCACCCTGACAGGTGATGTCCTTAGGCCTATACCTGCTCCCCTGCGGTGAATCAGAGTGCTGTTCAGTGCAGGGTGGCCCTGCTAATGCTCACTTCCCTCCCCTTCTCACAGGCCTGGCAGGTGTGTGATGGGCAGAGAAGGTGCTCCATGGCAGACATTTCCTGTTGTTTGAGTTGATGCTGCGTTTAGGGAGAGGTTCCTCCTTGCCACCCAAGGTTTTCCCTCCCAATTCATTCCTTTTTCTGTGTGTATATTTTATGATGTTTGAAATAAAGTGGGAGGAGGGTTTGAGTAAAGCCGTGTCTCAGATTGCCTTGTATGGTCCCTCATAGGCAGGAGGACTGCTGGGAACAGCCTCGCCTATCTCTGTCCTGGGCTGAATTTCTCAGGTTCTTCACCATTTTCCCAGCAATACAGGGGCAGGAGCAACTGCTGGGATTTCTTGTTTACTGGGAATCCATTAGAAAGCACCTTGGGATGGTGAGCTGAGCAGGGGCAGCACATGGAAGGAGGCAGTCACGTGCAGGAAGCTAAAACTGTCATCTGGGGAGACAGATGGGCTATCAGGCTTGGGGCTAAGGACGCACTGGGGGACCATTAAGCACCATGGGTACTCTTAGCACCTTTCAGCTGGAATGTGCTGGCTACCAAACAGGGTGAGCTGCCCATGGAAGGTGTCTGGCTGGTAACAGCAGCCCGTGGGCCAGGAAACAGTGGGTGCCCCATCATGCAGGTCAGTCTGGCTGTGCCCTCCTCTAGGGCATGACAAGGAGCTCAGCTTTCTATCCCTGTTGACAAGAGCAGAAGGGCTCTGTATCCAATTGCTGTATCGCTTACCACACCTGTCTGCCCTGGGAGGGTGTTTTTCTCCTCCTTTGTGCATATGCTTGAGCAGAATTAGTTATCTTTGCACTTGAAGTCTGCCTGTGTGCTGGTTTGTGCCTGGTGGTTGGTGCAGACATGGCTCTTTGGTGCTTGTGAGCCTCTGTAGAGGGAGAAGGCTGGTGGACAGCCATCTCCACCACCCCACACTTCACCCCCGAGGGTTTATTGCCTTTTTATTGCAGCCCAGTAACGGGGGGCAAACAGCGGGCTTCCTCCACACTTGCACAGATTGAGACACCACCCATGGCTTTTATTGCAAGGAAAAACAAGTTTAATTTACAGTTTTATGGAGAGGGACACTTAAATCGGGAGGGGTGTGTTTGGCCCTTAGTGCCCTGGTGTCACGTCTGACCCCACCATATTGCCCAGCCTGCTGGGCTCCCCTTGCCTCCTGCTGGTCTGCACCTGCGTGCTGCTCCGGTCCATCCCAATGCGTGTCTCATGGGGGGCTGCGCTGAGAGCTGGGCTCCTTTCCCTTCGCAGGGACCCTTTGTAGGGTCAAGGAGGCAGCAGTCTGTGAACCCAGAGTTTCTTCTTATGAAGGATGATCTAGCTGTCTTGCCTGGTTCTCATGCAAAGCTTTTCAGCTGATGCTCATTCCAGGCAGAGTTTCTTCAAAAAGAGAAGTGAGAGCAGCAGGCTGGTTATTCTCTGCTGCCCGTGGTCCCATCCTGGCTCCCGCTTAAAAGTTCTCCTTGTTGAAGTAGAATTTGACCTTTCTGGGGTCCAAGCTGGAGTGCTGGTGACAGGATCTCTGCAAGACCTTTGCCAGTGCCTCCGGACCACACAGGAACACACCAACCACCGACCTGCATACAGCGAGGGGCTGTGGGTGTTGGGGACCAGGCGATGCCTCCTGGTTCGACACCCCAAAGCCCCCATATCTCACCTGGGGTGGGCTGTGGCCACCGCTGAGAATTCAATGTCCCACCTAGGCCTCCCAAATATGGTTTTTTGCCTCAGGCCCGTCACTGTATCCGTGACTGTGTCGAAGTTGAGTGCTGCGTTGTTGGCCTGGGCAGAGCAGTGAGAATGAGTACCACAGCCACCACCAGCCCCCTGCAGCCATGCCCACCCACAGCCAACTCACAATGCTGGTGTCCCAGCCGGTGAGGAAGAGCCGGTAGGTGAGGAAGTCTGCCTTGCCAGACTCAGCCATCTTTTGCTCCAGTGAGGCAAGCAGGTCATTGAACCAGGCAAAGGCACCCGTGTCTCGGCAGAGCCAGTAGAAGTAGATCTGGGATGCAGTAGCATGGGGAAGAAGTGTTACTCGAGATGGAGCAAGGGAAGGATGTGATATCATGCATGAGGAAGCCAAGTGCTTCTGAACACGGAGAAACCCAAGGTGTGGGGTCAGCTGGTCCCACGGGGCTCTCAGTACCTTCTTGGTCTTGAGAGTCTGGTCATTCTGCTGGAACCTGTACCAGATGGACTTCAGGATAGAGGCAAAGGGGGTAACACCGATGCCTGCTCCCACCAGCATGGCCACCTCATACAGGAACACATCTTCGCTGGCCGTGCCAAAGGGGCCGTCCACTTCGATCCTGGCCAAGGGAGGGCCTGGGTAAGAAGCATGGCCTCCTCAACCCCTGGGGGGCTTTTTGGTGTTCTCCCCAGGCTACCTGGGAATTTCCAGCTTCTGCTGCTGGAAGGTGTCAATGATGCGCTCCGTCCAGTCCCCAGCCGCTCGGATGTGGATGGAGAAGAAGTCCTCCTCAGGTGCTGAGGTGAGGGTGAAGGGGTGCCACTCCAGCAGGGACACAGCGGGGCAGTTGACAAAGATGTACTGTCCCACTTCCATGCGGAAGCCCTTCTTCTGCATGTGCAGCTCCAGCACTTTAGCAGGGTGCATGACCACCTGTGAGGCCGGCAGCAGGGTTCAGTGCCCCACATGGCCCTGCTGCCTGTGTGGCAGCAGCCCCTGCCCTCCTCCGTGCAACCACTTCACCACCTACCTTGGTGACGACCACCTTCTGGCGCGCGCGCCAGATGCGCAGGATCCTCTCAAAGATGTAGAGGATGATGGGAGCCAGAACCCACTTCCAGGACTGTGGAGTGGAGGGGAGCAAGGGGTTGGAGCCTCCCAGGCCATCTGCTCCTCCTAACGGAGTATGCTAGGGCCTGGGGTTTCTGCAGCCCCACTCCCATCCCTACCTCTGCGGGGATGCTACCAAACTCGGGCTCCTTGCAGCACTCCTGCCTGCACTCCTTGGGTTTGTGCACCAGGAACTCAGCACAGCGCTGTGGGTGCACCTCCTTCATGCTCTCCTCCGTCTGCCCACGCACCAACCCGCTGCAGGGAGGCAGTGTAAGGATGGGGCCCCCTCCCACCGAGGACTGCATCCAGGTCATCCTGGAGCAGATGCGGCCACCACAGTGGCTGTTTGTCACTATTGCCCCTTGTTCTGCTGCTCTGGGAGCCTGCAGGAAAAGCCTTACGCGACACCGTGGATGACGAGGCCGATGAAGTAGATGATGAAGAGGTGGTGTGTGTACCAAAAGACCTCAAAGTAGTTCCTGCGGATGAACTCAGTGGAAGATGTGACCATAAGGATGAGCGCCAGAGTGATGATGACCCCGGTCAGCCCTGGGATGGTGGTGAAGGCCACGTACTCGACGGTCTGCAGAGGTGGCAGGAGGATGGGGTCAGGGTAGGCACAGGGCAAGGGGTTGGCAGCGGTGGACCCACGCTCACCGTCTGGTTGGAATGGATGGGGTTCAGCCACTTGTTGCTGTCCTGCAGGTGCATCTTGGAAAGGACAGCAGGCAGGCTGCCATCGTTGGCTTGCTGGCTGTAGTTGTAGCGCTCCAGGTTGAAGAGATGGGCAATGGTATGCACAGCTGTGCAGGGGAACAGGCGGTCACCCACTGTCACCCCACATGGCTCAGGGGGGACACAGGGTGAGCAGCAGAGTGCTACCTGTGAACAGGGCCAGCGCATAGGCCACCAACTTGTGGAAGGTGAGGTTGTGGTCCAGCTGCTTGCGCAGCGTCCTCCTGCAGCACTGCAAGGAGAGGTGGCAGGGTTGGGATGGGGACGGAAGCAGGGATGGGGACAAACATTCTGTGGGACTGCCCATGGGCACTCACCGAGCAGCTCCCGCGCAAGAAGGAGAGCAGATTGCGGCAGACGGGCAGCAGGATCAGCATGCTGTTGAAGTTGAGGCACTTGGCCGATGCCCGGGCCCACGCCAAGGCAGACTGAGGAGATGGAGACAGGGATGGGTGATTATTGCTGTGTCAGGGACAAGGTGCCCCAGGATGGGATGGGGTAAGCAACACTGAGCGGGGGATCAAGCGATCTGGGCTGGGGCTGTGGGAGGGGTATTGGTATGGAGCGATACTGGGATGGGAACAGAGATCAAGGAAGGGATTAGGATGGAGCAGAAGTGAACTGGAAGAGGACAGGACAAGGAACGCCTCTGGGGTGCTGCAGCCGCTGCCTTGCTGCAGCCCAGCCAGGAGGACTCCAGGGCAGGCAGGGTGCTGCTGGGAGCACCTTACCCCGAGGATGGCCCTTGTGTAGAAGTACCGCTCGTCCCGGTCGAAGAACAGAAAGTAGTATGTGAAGAGGAAGATGTTGATGCCCAGCCAGGCCGCCTGCAGGGGAATCAAGGATTGTGAGGAACTCCAGCCCCAGGACCTCTCACCCTGCAGCACATGGCTGCAGGCACGGATAGAGGGCATCAGCGCAGTGCATCCCATTCCACTCCCTTACTCCTGAGGCATCACGGGTGAGATGGGACACGGGAACAAGGGTGGGAAGGAGTGTTGCAAAATAACTGTCCCATCAATGCCATCCTTCTGCATGCACAAGGAATGAGGAAAGGAAGATAAAGGAAATATCTGTTGCTGAGAAAGGGAAGGGCCTGGGGCAGCTACCGAGCCGGAAAGGTCTGGGAGGAGGAAATGCTGCAGGGATGCAGCTGCCAGTCCTCACCATGCTGCCAGCCCTGCAGCACAGCCATGCTTCCCTGCACTGCTCTGCGCTGCATGGGAGCTGCATTTTTTGCAGAGCTCCCAAAACCACTCTGCCCTGAGTTCTATTTTTCTTTAACAATTTAAAATATGCAAATATCCCAATTTCCTGCACCTGTCCCCACCTCCCCCGTTTCCCAGACGTTTCAGCCTGCTGCTGTTGCAGCAGTGCTGTGGGTGCTGCAGCTCCTCCAGCACCAAGCAACTCCATGAGAGGAGAAAACCCAAGTGGGAGCCTCCCTGCCCACAGCAGTAGAGCAGAGCAACGGCAGTTTCAAGTTTTGCACTCTCCATCCATTGGTTTTGGACACCACAGGGAGGGATGCACTGCTTCTCTACCTCACTGTGAGCAGTTGGGGATTTTGGACATTTGGGTTGTGAGGGGGAAGAGGCATACAAGGCAGAAATAACCCCTGAGCACTGGGGGCCACCTTTCCTTTCAGCCTAGGAGTCATTACATGAGATCCACAGCCACCACTCGGCGCTGTGCCCATCACTCACACGGACGAGTTCTTTGTTCCTCCGTGGATGGCAGAGCCAGGACAGCTCCCAGTTTCCCCCCAGCCCCTCCAGCCCCCCAGCAGCCTGAGCCCCGTGCACTCACAAAGACGGTGGCCGAGAACCAGTGGTTGACCAGCCAGTTGCCCATATTGTGATGTCTCCGTCCACCCGCAGCGAATGCAGCCCGCTGCCGCCCGCCCGCGTTTTATGGAGGCAGCAGCCCCAGGAGCGGCCCCGGGCCTGGGAACGGCGCTGCAGGGATTTTCCCCCACGGTGTCTTGGAGGAAATGCCGCACGGTTTCAAAGGCTCCTTCCAGGAACGCCGGCTGAGCCCGGAGCCGCGGCCGTGATGAGGTACTGGGGAGCCTTGTGAGGGGTCCCACGGGGTCTCACATGGAGCTGGCACAGCAGAGAGAGGGACGTGGGGGCACGGCCCTGCTTCTCCCCTCCCCTGTAGCATTTGGGGACGGAGCTTTTTTAAGGAGTGCTTTTTTAAGGCAGGAACTTCCTGCTGGCAGGGGATTGAAGAGGACTCTGCTTGGCAAACACGACCCTCCCTGGCCTCTCCTGATGACTTTTCACGAGAGGAATTGCAGAAGATGGGAGACATCCCAGAGCACAGCAGTGCCACTGTGCTGGTGCCAGGAGCCAGCCAGGGCTCAGCATGCCAGTGCAGCGTGTTTCAGCTGTGCACCCAGTGATGCTGAGCACCCTCAGCAGTGACAGCCCTATAAATTGCTGCTGGGGATTCACACTGCAGCAGGATCGTGAGCACTGCGATGTCCAGCACCGCAGCACCCACACCTCATACCAGCACAGCAGTTGGCACCTGGTGGCCAAAGGAACAGGTTGGGCAGGATCACGCTGTGTCACAACTGGGGTCGCTGCCTGCTGACAGCCAGAGCTGTGCTGGTGGAGCAGCAGGAAGAGACCCACAGCCTCCCTGCCCCTTATTGGCTCCATCGCAGGACAAGTGCAAACCTGCAGCAGCTGGGAGAGATTGGGCTGTGCTGCTGAGCCTGCACTGCAGCCCTCAGCTCAGGGACATAGTTTGATCCCCTGCCCAGGTGCAGTACGAGAAGTTTATGCGGGCAGCGTGCATGCGTGCTGTTTGGCCCCATCCTGGCAGTCCCCACCCACGTGAGTCACTGCTGCCTGCCAGCACCCAGATGCAGAGCCACAGCAAAGTTTCTTTACTGCTCAAAACAGACCCAGAGCAGCATCCCTGGGGTCACAGCAGCGTGGGGTGCTCCACTGGGGTCTGCACACCCCATAGGTCCCCTGTGTGTGTGTTCCAGGCAATTGGCATGCTCTGTATCCTGACACCATGGGGCTCAGCGCAGGGCACCAGCACCTGCAGCCACTACAGCACCATGGAGCCCTCAGCATGGCTCATGCCACCACAGCTCCTTGTCCATACTCCCAGGCTGTGCTTCAGACGATGCTGTGCCTCACACCAGGTTCATGTGGTGCCTCCAGGAGCTCTGCACTGTCCAGGGACCGCCGGCAGCAGACACAGTGGAGGAAATCAGCAACGTTGTGTCGGAAGAGCTGGCGGCACGGATGCAGGTACTGGAAGAAGAGGAGCATGAAGTAGATGGCCAGGCAGTAGCCGAGCAGCAGCTGCACCACCAGCAGCAATGTACAGATGTTCTCATAGACATCAGTCTTAAAGAAGTACCAGAGAACGACCAGCGCCGTGTTCTCCAGCAGCCGGGCCACGTAGTACACAGCCAAGCGGCCCCAGTTCTGTGACTTGTCGATGAGGTCCCGGTCAGCCAACTTGAGCTGCACAGCCGACCAGCAGAACATGTTGATGCTGGCGTAGAGCAGGGTGAAGGCAAACAGCACCACCACCGTGCCCACCCGGCTGAAGTTCTTCTCGATGTTGTCGGGCAGCCGCGTGCCACTGCGCCAGAACTGCACCCAGGGCTGGAAGAAAACCACCAGCAGGTTGGCCAAGGCAATGGGGATGATCCAGTGCTTGAAGACGGTGCTGAAGAGCACCAGGACAGCCACACGAGTGGAGATCTCCAGGCTGCGCCACAGCACGATGCAGAGGAAGGCCAGCGGGCGCAGCTGCACCTTGTAGTCGTCGTACTTGACCTGGATGGCCAGGACATTGCAGACAAGTGCCCCGTAGGTGACCGACACCAGGCAGATGCCCATGAGGATGGCTGTGGGAGGAGAGGTCAGCGGGTCAGATAATGCTGGGAGCAGCACGGGGATTTCCTCACTCTGCTAATCAATATCTTCCTCTTTTCCCAGCTGAGTTTGTACCTGGGTGTGAAGCAGCAAGAAATGCTGCCCCTGTGCAAAGGAACAGTGTTTATGTGGGCAGGGCATCACGTGGTTACATGGCTCCATGGAGCAAGCAAGCACCTGGGAGCTGGGAGCATCTCGGTCCCAGACAGCTCCTCCCAACCTTCTGCAGCTTTGCAGTGGGCTGGAAAGCATTGGCAAAGCAAACCAGGGGATGGGCAGGTACCTAAATTCTATGGGCTGTTCAGGGAAGGCAAGGGGTGGCAGGGCCGGATGGGGCGTATCTGTAGAGACCCATCTGGATACCACACCACTGCGTGCAGTTGAGGACATTCTCCCATACCCTCAAGATACCACCATGCCCTGATGTTCCACCAAACCCCCGAGGCTCCACCACATCCCTGAGATGCCACCATGCCCCGCACATCCACGACAGAGCTTTTGTGCCCAGCACACAGCCCATCCCTTACCTCGTGCAATGGGGACATACTTCTCCAAGATGCTGATGTAGAGCTGCAGGGTGAGCTGCGGGGTGGAGCCCAGGAAAGCCTGGATGACGGCCATGCGTTTGAAGGCGTTGCGGTGGGTGGCCAGCCGGCGCACCGAGTGGCCCACCTCCTGCTCCAGCTCCACTTCATAGCCCTTGCGCAGCCGCCGCTTGCGCGTGATGGTGACGTAGGGCTCCTCTTCCTGCCCCGACCAGCAGTACACCACCAGGGCCTCCACACACCTGTGGGCAAATGGCCACTGTCACCCCAGTGCGTCCCCATCCACTCCAGAGCTTGGGTCCAGCGCGGGGCCAGCAGCAAGGGTGGTGCAGGGTAGCTGGTATAAGAGCAGTAGCTCCATTGGTAGCTAAAGGAAGGGCGTAAGCACCCCAGGCTCTGTTTTCCCACTGTTGAGCACCCCACAACAGCATGAGAAATGTTCTGCTGTTGTGTTTGATCTCAAAAACCTTCCACACTTCCTCCTCAGTTGGAGCAGCAGGAAGCAGAGAGTGGGGTGGAAGCCAATGTCTGATGGAGCAGATAACATGGCTTCCGGAGCGCATCCCCTCAGCACCCTGCAGCTCCAGAGAGGGCGGCCTCCTCCACTGCCTCCTGCTGCCTCCTGATACCATTCAGCACAGCAGCTTTCATCCAGCCCCTTCATTTCCACCAGCTTCTCCGGCCCTGCTGGCCTCACTGTCTCACCAGCAGAGCACATGGACCAGGCACAGCCATGGTTCCCTGTGGGCTGGGCTGGCTCAAGGGCCAGCGGGAGGTAATTGTCTGTGAGCGCTGATGGGGAAAACAGCCACTGCTCTGCTTCAAACCCAAATGGAATGAGGTTTGGGAACTGATTCTTTTGCCAGATCAGTGCTCACGGCCTATTCCAAGCTAATGGGAAAATGATTTCACCACAGCACCTGGCTCCAAAAGCAATCGATGCACACAGTGCCCCACCAGCCTTCCCCAGCAGGCTGAGCTCGCTCTGCAGCCCCAGAGCTGGCACAGCATCCCCCAGCAGCTCAGCATGACCCTTGCAAGCACCAAACCCTATCCCAGCAGCTGCTGGTGGCAGTGCTCAGTGCAATGGGCCAGCCACTGTAAACCAGCGTGATCCGATGGGGCAATGCTGCAGTGCTGGTGCTCCCCAGCATAGCTGCCCTCTGGGCCAGGCGCTGGGTGAGCTGTGGGACCGGCATGACATTCCCCCCATGCACAGCAATGACAGCAGCCAGGGAGGCACGGCAGCATTCCCCAGGAGTGAGAACAGCACCTCTTCGGCTTGTGCAACATCCACCTTCGTCCTTCTGTCCCCACTGGGGTGTGGCAGCCCCCAGTCCCTCTCCTCTGCGCCCACAGCCCAACATCCCTAGACCACAGACCCCTTCAGCCACTCCAGCATAGATTTGCATCTCAGCCCCCAACAATGCAACCACAGTGAGAGGAATGCTGACTCCACAAAGCAGCCGTGTGAAGAGCACATTTGGCAGCAGGCACGCAACAGGCTGAGAGAGCCCGGGGGGGTCCTGCAGGCAGCGGGGAGGGGAGCAGGACGCGCAGGAGCTGCGCTGCGGAAAGCGCTGCTGACAGCGGTGCGCGGCGCTCCTGCTCTGCCCTGCCGGGGAGCCGAACCGAACCGAGCCGTGCCGTGCAGAGTCGTGCAGTGCAGAGCCGTGCCAGGGTCCCCGCCGCGCTCACCTGATGATGGGCCCCAGCTGCAGCAAGTGCATGAGCAGGACGAGCGGTCGGTCGCGGCTGAGGTCGCGGTGCACGAAAATGAGGGTGAGCTGCACCAGGACGGAGGGGCAGAGCACGAAGAAGATGGTGAGCGCCAGCCAGAAGCGGTCGTCGGAGTGGCTGTAGGAGAAGCAGAGGACGGCAGCCGCCGCGCTCTCCCCGCAGAACAGCGCCGTCGAGAAGACGATGCCGAGCGGCAGCTTCGCCCTCGACGGGGCGGCGGCGGGCGGCTGCCCCTCTCCCGGGCCGTCCATCGCGGCCCCGGCGCCGCTCAGCCCCGCCGCGCCGCCATCCTGAGCTGCAGGGGAGGGAGAGGAGCGCTGCGGAAGGGGAGCGGGGCGCTGCGGAGCGCCGAACCCCGCACGGCGCCCCGACGGGCGGCAGCTGCCTCCGCGCCGTGCCCCGATCACCGTGGTGGGGGGGCGGGCCGAGCCGGCTGCTCTCCCGGGCCCGCCCCGGCGGGGAGTGGGAGGGACACTCTCGGGTAGCGGACCCTCCTCCTGGGGACCCCCTGTTACGCTGCCGGGTACACCTCTAAGAATCCCCTCCCCCCTGCAGCCCCATCCTCACCAGCCCTCTGTG